CGTCAGGCCCATCCCTTCCATACCACCTTCGTTCGTAAATCATATCATGCCATATCCAGACACCATTCCAATTCCGAGTTCAACAACGACTCATCTATGTCCGGTTGAACTGAGCTGGAATCAGTTCAGATCCGGCACGTTCGTAGGGGCGTGTTGACTCACAGCCAGTTTACCACGTAAACTTCCATATCCGCATCCGAGTCACTCATTGCCTATCACCACATGCACATCTTCAAATCACTTCGCACTTTTACCACTCTTACCACTTCATAATCACTGTCTCTTCACCACAGAATCCACATCCAATTGCATCCGATTACATACGCATCACATTTACCACAGCACAAAGCTTTACGAAAACCTCTTCATCGCTGTCACGTACCCATCACCTTCTCCAAAACAAACATGTGTCTCTACATGGTCGTCCACTACGGACCCAGCCCCTTCTCGCTTACCCGACTTCTCTCTTCGAGCAAGATTGCCCATATACAGGAGCGAAGTACGTCGGAATGGCGGGTCGAACGTTTGAGTCTGAGTCGTTTGCGGGAGCTGTGGCATTTAAAGAGCCGAAGTCAGGAAGATTTGAACAAGACGGAGAAGGACGACGTGTTCGACATGGGGTACTGAGTCAACGAGTTAAAGTCATCAGTGGCATGACGCCAACATCGACACATTACAATGAAACAACAATGCGATGAACTTTTTTGGAATGAACTTTTTGAATTCTTCCTTCAGCTGATGTGCAGAAGACTTGTCTAAGCTAACCAGAGCATGTGGCTCGGCCTGCCCTCCATCCTCCGTCGAGGAGTGGGCGACCAGTAGTCGTGATCTTCATGGTATCGTTTTGAAGCTAACCGTTTACTCCACCCATTGAACAAAAAGCACAACAGCCTAGTTCATCTGCCTGACGAGCTGGTTGATGAACTCCTCGCGGTTACCAAGGTCACCACCCTCGATGAAGTGCTTGAACTTGCGGGTGCGGAAACCGCCAGTGGGGGAAGACAGCTTGAAGGGCCAGAGGAAGTTGGAGACGGCCTTGAAGTTGGGGCCGACGGTGTAGATCTCGTGGATAATGTCCTCAATGCAGGTGATACCGAACTTGCCGAGGTTGGCCTCGATGAGCTCGTTGTCGGTGATCGGCAGACGCTGCTTGTTGACCTTTCCGTAACCGCGCTTGTAGACAAGCTCGCGGACGGTCTTCAAGTTGGGGTATCCGTAGGCGACAAAGGGCTCGACGATCTTCAGCATCTCGCTGGTAGCCTTGGTGAGCTTGACGAAGACACCGTTGTTGATCTGGAGAAGACGGAGGAGCTGGAGGGTCTTGCGCTTCTTGGGGTCGATCTTGTTGATACTGCGTGGGTTAGTAAAAGATTTTGCAGGTATGGAAAGCTGCAACATACCCCTTGATACGGACAACGAAGGCGAGGCGGGACTCGGCGGGGACGAAGAGAGAGTTGTCACGCTTCGCGGCACGCTTGGCCTCGATGACATCGCGCTGGGCCTTTGCGTACTCCTGGGTGTACTTGGCGGCGCGCTCCTTGATGACCTCGCGCTTTTGCTTGCTGGCCTAAGAAATCTTAGCCAACTGTGGAACTCCTATCTGCTTGCGCAGGTTCTGGGAGACTGTTATACCTCACGCTTCTTCTTCAACTCAGCGGCCTGGGAGTCGCTGGTCTTCTGGTGGGCCTTCTGCTTCTTGAGCACCGACTCGGGGACAGCGATGTCATTCTGGGTGGGGACGCTGGAATTGTTAGCTAAGCTGCGGTGAATTGAGCGCGGTATACTCACGATGAGCGGGCCATTTTGGTGGTGGTTAGTATCCTTGTTGTTGTCGGAAGCTGGAGGAAGAAAGTTCGGTAGCCCAGTTCGAAATTCATGTGCGGGCGCTAGTGTGGCCGCCAAGATCGAGTGCAGCGCTAATGCCCCGCTCTATTGGCCCGCCTCTCGAAGCTATCGACATTTTCCTGAGAGCTACCAACTTGCGACAGCTGCGGCAGGTTTGCAAATTCAACCTTTTCCCTATACCTACTCGCAGCAATGGCACGAGGCGGCGGTCGCGTGAGTAGATACAGCATGCGCCACACATAGACAACGCCCACTGACTTCCATAGGGCGGTGGTCGCAAACCATTTCGCGGCAAGGGTAAAGGTCGCGGCGGCGGCGGTGGTGGAGGACGTGATACTCGCTCAGAGCCATGGTCCACCATTGAGCGCAAGAATGAGCTCTTCGAGAGCTACTATCGCATGGGAGGATTCTTGGAAGAAGCAGAGTTCGAGGAGATGTGGAAGGCTCTCCAGACCGATCTGCCAAACAGTTTCCGCTTCACTGGCACCAAGTCCGATGCCCTCGCAGTGCGCGAGATTTTTAAGCAGCGCTACATCCCGGCGATCGCATCCAAGCAGTTCGAAGGCAAGCCCGTTTCGCCTCCCGAGGCAGTCCAGGCCTTCCCCGATGAGCTCGTATGGCACATGAAGACGCACAAGAAGGTCATTCGACGACATGCGCCCTTTGCCGATTTCCAGAAGTTCCTCGTCGCCGAAGCTGCGTCCGGAAACATCAGCAGACAGGAAGTTGTCAGCATGATCCCGCCACACTTTCTCGACGTCAAGCCAGGCATGGTAGTCCTCGACATGTGCGCAGCACCGGGAAGCAAGTCGGCACAGTTGGCTGAGATGATTCACGGCGACGAGGAAGAGCGCGTACAGCGGGTAGCGAACGGCGAGTCGGTCGACCTCAGCCAAGACGGTGACTACAGCGACGACGGGCGTTCGACAGGCCTCCTTATCGCGAACGATTCTGACTACAAGCGCGCCGGCATGTTGGTCCATCAGGTCAAGCGCCTCAACTTCCCCAACCTCATTGTAACCCAACACGACGCCTCGATTTTCCCCTCGATCGAACTACCCAGCGACGGCCAGAGGAAACAATACCTGAAGTACGACAGGATTTTGGCCGACGTGCCTTGCTCTGGTGACGGAACCGCCCGCAAGAACCCGAACGTATGGCAGAAGTGGACACCGAAGGACGGTCTTGGTCTCCACGGACTTCAGCTGCGCATTCTGTTCCGAGGTCTTCAGATGCTGAAGAAGGGTGGTCGCATGGTGTACTCTACCTGCAGTTTGAACCCTGTGGAGAACGAGGCTGTTGTCGCAGCAGCCATCGAGGCTTGCGGTGGTAACTCCAAGGTCCGACTCGTGGACTGCTCAGACCACCTGCCAAACCTCAAGCGAAAGCCCGGTCTCAACGTGTGGAAGGTGCTCGACACATCGTCAGTCACTGCCGGAGGAGAGAAGACCGCTCACATGTTCACCAACTGGGAAGCCTACCAAAAAGCGAGGGCAAAGTACGAGGCCGAAGAGCCCGAACGTCAGTTCTCCACCAAGGTCACTCCCGGATGCTTCCCCCCTGTACCGAAGTCCGAGGAAGAGCGCATCCCTCTTGAAAACTGCATTCGTGTTTACCCACACTTGCAAGACACTGGCGGTTTCTTCATCGCCATCCTTGAGAAGGTGGATGACATTAAGATTGCGCAGGTACAGAACCCAGAGAACTTGGCCAAAGCTCAGAGATCGCACGCCAATGCCGACACGACCACCGACTCATCGATCCCCACTCCTGCTGAGAACGTGATTGAAGCCGACGCTACCAAGACAGAGTCTACAGATGAGACCTCTGAGACGGCTCCCCTGAAGCGCAAGCTAGAAGAGGATGAAGAGACTGAAGCTCCCAAGAAAGCCAAGACCGAGGACACAGTCGCTGAGGCAGCTCAAACACCAGACGCAAAGCCCGCCACCAACGGCTCAGCTGCCCGCTTGAAGCCTGAGAACCAGTCGCAAGCCAAGGAGTACTTTGAATACCTCCCCTCTGACGATGCAACCATCGCCTCCATCATGAACTTCTTTGGCATCGACGATCGCTTCCCACGCGACCGCTTTATGGTCAAGAACAAGGAGGGTCTCTCCCTCAACAAGATCTACTACACCTCAGATCTAGCCAGGACAATCCTCACACTCAACAAAGACCGCGGCATGAAGTTCATACATTGCGGTGTCGTCATGTTCGTCGCGCACAAGATCAAGGACCAGGACCGCACGCAAGCACCATGGAGGTTACAAAACGAGGGTATCCGTATCCTCGAGCCATGGGCAAGGAAGCGTATAGTCAAGCTAGAGAAGAAGGAGACTCTACACCAGCTCATCCGCGAGATGTTCCCCAAGCTACCCAAGGAGGGCGATACCGGCCTCGGCGAAGTCGGCTCGCAGCTCCAACAGATGGACGTTGGCTGCTGCTTTATCCGCGTTGAGAAGGACGACGAGAAGGGCATTCCTTTCCGCATGGTGCTTCCTCTCTGGAGACATCCCGGCAGCGCCAACCTGATGGTCGACAAGGATGACCGCAAGGCCATGCTGCTTAGGCTGTTCAACGAAAAGGATACTGAGATCATCAACCACGTCGCTGACAAGGCCAAGGCGGAGCAGCAAGCTCGTGATGCTGAAGAGGCAGGCGAGGGCGATGCTAAGGTGAAGGATGAAGGGGATGTCAGTGACGGTGAGCAAGCCACCGAGGCTATGGTCGCTGAGGAGGAAGAGGGTGCTATGAAGGTTGAGGTTGAAGACGACGATGTGAAGATGGAGGGCGATGCTTAGGCGTTGTCATCTCTTCACAACGTAAAAGTCATTATTAGAGCATTCTGGCTTTGGCTCATCATCTGGTTTGCATTTGGGTTGGCGTTTTATCTTCTTTAGTTACCATCTGGAGCTTAGCTTCTTACTCTATCACGCATTTCTATGTATGAATGTCATGATGCAATCATTCAATATCTTCATCGCCTCTTGGATCATGAGCTCCAACAACGTGTATTACAAGGGGTATACCAAATAAAACTACAAAACATACTTTGAACTCCCCATCCCTTCGCTTCCCCATCATAAACCTGCGCTCAGTAATCGAAACAAGGATAAACCGCAGACTCACGCAAAACGATACCTCAAAAAGCCCTTCTAAGACTTCTCCTTATCCCCCGCCTTCGTCGCAACACTCTTCCCGCTCTTAACACTCTTCCCACTCTTCATACTTTTCAAGCTCTTCTTACTCGCACTCCGCTTCAGTTTCGCTTTGAGTTTACTCCATTTCTCTCTCAGGCCGCCGTCTTCATCCTCATCCACATCCTTCGGCCTCTCGACGCTATCGAAACTGCCGCGCGGGTACTCGAGCTCGCTGCCAACGTCCACGCTATCGTTGTTCCTGGCGTGTTGCTGGTGCGATTTGCGTGGTGTTTGTTTAGACGGGGTCTGGATGCCAGAGCCAGAGGTGGGGATGTCTTTGTGGCGACCGAGCAGCATGAATTGGAGGGTTTGCCAGGCGGGCATGTTGGCTATTGGACTGTCTTTTTCGTTGGCTTGGACGTCGGCGTTCTTCCAGGGGCAGTGTTCGCGGTGGGACTCTAGGAGGTTAAGGCGTAGGCTTTCAATGGGCACGTCTAGTTTCTTGCTCATCTCTGTGAGGCGCGTGGCGGAGGACAGCCACAGACCTAGGCGCTGGAAACAGTGGTTGCATACTGCGAGCGAGATGCGCGATTCGGAGACGCCGGTCCAGCCGAAGAGGGCGAAGACGAAGGCTACGGTGTCGCTGGGGGAGAGCGGGGGTTGGGTGCCGGTGGATGTGAAGAACGAGGAGGGAATGCGGGAGAGGATTTGTTGGATCGGTGGGTCGGGGTAGGTGATGTGTTCGAGAAGGGGGAGGTCGGCGGATATGGCTTTGAGGAAGCGGTATCGGTCGAGGAGTTCAGCTGAGCTCTTGGTGCGTGATGCGATGGGGATGTGGTAGATGTCTTCTGTTTCGATTATTAGTTGTGTTACCGGTCCTACTGTGCGTTTCCTCATACCTTGACACCCTCGCTTCCTCCACAGGCAGTCGTCTGAATGCCCCTCGACAATGAGATCCTTGTATCGCTCTATCAGCGCGTCGTCGATATCGAAAGCCAGATCCTCGCTCATCTCCAGATCCTTTCCGTTCGCATCTCTCCGCTTCGGTCTCAGCTTGACCGCAACGCGGTTCTCGCATCCACCCTTGCAGGCTACTGTGTTCCAGATATCGCAACTCCAGCCCCGCTTCGCCCACTCGACCTCGTTGATCGCATCTGGCTTGGTCGTCCACTTCCGCACGTCTGCAAACGTCTTCAGTCGCTCGAGGAAGTGTTCCTGGCTGTATGGCTGAAAGTTGGGTGCTTTGCGCGGTGTGGAGGCTTTCGGCGTGACTACCGTCTTGCCTACAACCTTGATTGTCTTTTCTCTCCGTGGGGTCATAAGCTGTTCCTTGAGCTGCCGTATGCGCTCCTGCCCTTCCGATATGCCTCTCTGGCGCTCCATGCTCAGGTTCGCGCTGCGCGGACGCTTGTTCGGATGCTCAGGGCTGTCTGGTTCCGAAAGCGCGGAGAGCGACGCGGTCGATGCATTTGACTCTTGAAGGGTGCTCGCGAGAGAAGTCGTCGAGTTGCTTGCGGTGAGGTTATCCAGGAGCTTGTGGAACTTGCGCTTCGTGGTCGCAAGTGCAGGCTGCTGCTCTGTTGAAGTCATGGTGCCGGAGTGAAAGATTTCGCGATGATTCGGGTAGAAAGGCGGATCGTTCGGGTGTGATTATTGGGATGCGCGCGTCGTAGAATCGTATGTCGATCTTTGTTTACGTCCACTCGAGTCGAATGCCAGGTCTGTCTATCCACTTAGCATCGATCAGTCGCAGTCGAAAAGATATGAGAAAAGCTGCACTTCGCAAGACAAGACGGCAATCTCGAATGTCTGTGCACTAACAGCAGTTGAAAGCCGTTGATGGGAGTGTTGTTGCCATGGCGGCGACCCGATTCCCCATGCAGTAACCTCCGCCCGCAGCGCCAAGGCCAGCGCCAGCGGGCTGCGTCGCGTCCACCCACCTCCGTGCAGAACCCCACCAAAGCGACAAGGAGGGGCTGAAGATTGTTAGTGTTAGCGTTCAATGCCCACCCAAATTGCGCCATCAAGATTCTTCCTGCTCGCACTCGTCATCCTGGCTATCTCACTTGTCAATCCATCGTTGCTCTCTCGTAGTCTTGCTCGTCTTTCTCAATTGAAACACCACTTCTACCCGTCCGCCGCACTCCACACCTCGCAGCACGTATACACGACCTCGAATCGAAGCATACACACCATGGCCTACGAAAAGGAACTGGAGATCGCTCTCCTCGCCGTCCAACGCGCTTCCATCCTCACAAAGTCCGTCTACTCGAGCCATTCCAAAGGCACGCTATCCAAGAGCGACTCCTCGCCCGTCACAATCGGCGACTTCGGCGCACAAGCCCTCATCATCGCATCGATAAAGCACGCCTTCCCCGAAGACGAAGTCGTCGGCGAAGAAGACGCCAACGACCTCCGCAACAACGACTCGCTCCGCGACCTCGTCTGGGACCTCGTACAAGCCGCAAAGCTCTCGGACAGCAGCGCAGAGGAAAAGATCGGCGGACCCATCAAGAGCGCAGACGCCATGCTCGCAGCACTCGACCAAGGAAACAGCGAGGGCGGAAACAAGGGCCGTATCTGGGCTCTCGACCCCATCGACGGCACGAAAGGTTTCCTGCGCGGTGGACAATACGCCGTGTGTCTCGGTCTCCTCGTAGACGGCATCCCCACCGTCGGCGTAATCGGGTGCCCCAACCTCCCCGTCGACGACCAAGCCCCTCTCACAACAACCACCGGACAAGACGCCGACGACAAAGAAGGCAAGGGCGTGCTATTCGGCGCTGTAAAAGGCCAGGGCGCTACAAGCCGCCCCCTCAGCGCCGGCGCCCTCACAGCCGCAAACCCCATACAAATGAAACCCCTCTCCGACGTCACCCAAGCCACCTTCTGCGAATCCGTAGAAGCAGGCCACTCCTCCCAAGGCGACAACGCCGCCATCGCGTCCAAGCTGGGCATCACCAAGCCCTCCGTACGCATGGATTCGCAAGCAAAGTACTGTTCCATTGCACGTGGAGCGGGAGACTTGTACCTCAGGCTACCGGTGAGCAAGACGTACCAGGAGAAGATTTGGGATCATGCGGCTGGTGTTGTGCTCGTGCAGGAGGCGGGTGGTGAGGTTAGTGATGCGTATGGGAAGCCGCTTAACTTTGGTCTGGGGAGGACGCTTAGGGAGAATAAGGGTGTTGTTGCTGCGCCTAGGGATGCGTTTAAGCAGGTTATTGAGGTGGTTAAGGAGGTGCTGTTGAGTAAGAAGGAGTAGAGGTGGTTATTAAATGATATGATATGATGATTATGTGTACCAAGTTATGCTGTTTTGGTTGTGATCTCCTGCGTTTTGACGTCTTGGAAAGCTTCATATAGGGTACTGTCATGCCGGAGTCAGTATCACGCTTTTTGCTCTCAAAACATACTGCGGATGGAACAGTCACAATCAATCACCAATGCCCCTACACCAATTCTAGCAGGAAACCCACGTCCGCACTCTCATTGAACTACCCCAATACTCTAGTTGTTAGAAAAAAAGAAAAACGCCAAAATGCGGAACCATGAAGATACCCACAAGATAATCCCTCCCTTACCATACCAATCCAACTTTACTCCTACTCCAGTTCCTACTCCAGTTCCAGTCCCAATTCCAATATATCAGTAAAATACCCTCCCATTTCCCCACCAGCAAAAAGCCCTAGTAAAGCGTAACTAAACTTCCCTATTTTCGAACCGTATTTCCTTCCCGTTGGGTATCACCTGCTTTAGATCCTCCATTCGTTTCTTGCTCCGTGGAGACAAGTTAGTTTCCTTGGCCTTTGTTTACTCCGTTAAAGTGCAATTTGGTGTTTCCATTTCTCCGTGTGGATGATGTTGGAGATGATGTTGACGTGTTGTTGAAGTGAGCGATGCGGTGCTTTCGCGTGTTGAGATAGACTGTCGAAGTTTGTTGAATGGCGGCTCATGCTGTGAGTGTGGTTGTCGGCGTGAGAATACCGCCGCCTAGAGTATCATCGCCGCTCTCATCGACAAAGGTGCTTTCGGCACCTGCGTCGAGCTCGTCGGTATCTATATCCGCCTCCGCGCCGGTGTCGTTGACTTCCTCGGACTGTTCCACCTCGTTGTCATGCTGGACGTGTTCAGCCTCAACGTCTACCGGTAGATGCAATATGTGGGCACTCATTCCTGGCACAGGAGTAAGGTGCATCTGCGCTAGCCCTTGTTGAAGTGCTTCAACCTCCTCGTTCACGTCTTCGGTCATCTCGACGTTATTCTCTTCATCGTCGGAATGGTCGTAGGCAGCGTGATACGGCGAAGGCCCAGACGCACTGATGGTAGTCAAGTTTGCGGGTTCTTCCATGACACCAAATTCCGTTGTCACAGTGATAGAGTCCGGGCTCGGGATAGGCAGCTCATGTGTATATGATGAGGGGCCATCCATGGTCGGGTTGACAGTGCTCTCATCATAGACTGTTGTGAAGAACTCGAACATCTGTCCAGCCAGCTCATCTGCTTGCCCGCGCTCTTCCTTGTCTTTCCTCTGCTTGGCGATGGCACGAAGTTGTTCCTCTTTCTTTTGTTTGATCTCTGCCTCCAGCCGGCATTTGGCACGGACGTTGGGTTTGTGTGTGCATGTCGGGCAGTGGTAGTTGACAGTGCAGAATGTGCACGTGCAAGTTGGATTTGATGACGCGCATTGCTAATGGTACGTTAGTGATCTGTGATTCCCATATATAGGTAGTAAACTTACATCGCAAACAAGAACCGCACACTCCGAGCACTCCTTGAGAATTGCTGGACACTGTGGTCGGACATCTCCTGCGGGTCTCGGGTATTGGCAAAAGTATGCACCACAACCACTCCACTGAACGGGATGCCGCGGATTGCACGGTAGGGGAAGAGGATTTGTGACGGGGTGATTGATGGGAACGCGTTGCGAATTCGGCGGCCAAGCACTGGTAGGTCGACCACGAACGCCAGACACGCTGAAGGAACGCGGACGCCCAGAGCTGATGGGAACAAACGACAGCGAGGTGGCAAGTTGGAAAGGCTCGGGATTTGAAATAGAATTGAAGGACGTTGTGGTTGACATGTCGATTGACGAGTGTTGGGGAGCAACCATGATCTGCGATTGAGACATGGGTGTCTCGGACGATTCAGACTCATTGTCACCTGTGGAGTAGAAGTCTAGATGCGATGACGATGCTGTGGGTGTGCGTTCAGGATCCGGTGTACTGGCCCGGTTTGGATTGAACTCGGGTATGACAAGGCGTTGTGGCGGCTCGTTATGCGACCGCACATGGTCTCGCTCGGTATGTAGGTCCCGGTAGCCACACTTGCGGACCTTGAGCGCCCTGAAGTCATGCTCCTTGCATATGGGGTTCTTGCAAGCCCGACATGACACTTTCCACCGGAAGCTTCGATAGCAGTCATTACATAGCCCTCTCGGACATGTTTGTTGTTGCAGGTCAAGCGAGTCCTGCTTCAAGTACGACAGGATATCAACGTCTTCCCCAAGCACATATTCGTACAGGCCGTTGTTCTTCAACTCCCGGACGTAGTCCACGGGTCGAAGTGTGTTGCTGAAGTCCGGATCCTCATACTCCTTCGTGCGAGGTAAAGGCGCTGCGCGTATCTTATCCGCTCCTCGGCCACCCAGTCCAGTACCCAGGACAGCAATGCCGCCGCCACCAGAGAAGATGGGCTCAAGACAGCACCAATGCATGTTCAATTTTGGAGGCTCGCGGTTCGCAGGTGGTACAGGCATACCGTTGTTCCCGTCTTCAGAATCAGAGTCGTCATCATCCTGTGCACCCTCGTTCATGAGGTTTGGTGATCGGCTCGCGCCTGGGGCCCACCAGAAGCGGTTCTGGTCGGCCTTTTCCTCTTGACTCCGGTCTTCCAGTGGTCCAGAAGACCCTGACGCGTGACCGAGTGTGCCGCCCAATGTGCTGCTGTTGCCAAAAGCCAGGTTTGCAAAGTGCCGTGTCTTGACCCGTTTCCTCGGTATCGGCCTGTTGAAGGCGCAGCTCGCGCAGAGCGTCTTCCTGCAGCCCATGCAGTGCATGCGGACACTGCACGACTCGCATCGCTCCAGGATGGGATCGTTGCATTGGGCGCATTTGACCTCTTCAACAAAGGCAGTGTGGCTCCTCCGCTCGTGCACCGGGACATGTTTGCCTTCTCCGGCGGAGTTCCCGTCTTCGGGACCGAGTGGCTCGCCATCTTCTCCTGTCTCGGCAATCTCCCACAGTCTGCCATCGTGTTCGCCCAGCTTTGTCGTGCCTTCTACCGGGCCAATGCGGTTGCTCGATCGCCATAACCGGTCAAAGGGTACCCAGACTTCCATGTTCTGGGGTCCTGCTCTTCCGGCGTGGTAGTCCTTCCTCCGGTTGCACCTGCCGCCCGGTGTCGGACACCACGCTGTATCTGTCCATATCCCCAACTGATGGCATATCTCGATGAGCTGGTGGGTAGGGTCGGAATCGGAGTCTCGCCGGATGAGGGAGGAGGGCAGATAGGGCCGCCGGCGGTGGTGTCGACAGCGGTAGGTGTATAGGCTCTTCAGAGCGAGATCCTTCTTTATCCAGGGCGCGTCCTTCAGCGTGTATGGCTCGAGGAAGGGCACGATGTGGTACTTGATGGAGACGTTCTTGCAGCCGCGTACCGACAGATGCTGGAGGGTGTCCTTGCGCGGGCCAACTACGTCGCCAATGAGCGAGACGCCAGCCACGGCCGTGTTGCAGAGGTCCAGGCTGGTCAATCGTGACCCGTTTGGCAATATGGTCTGTATGAGGAGGGCGTTCAGCGAGTAGGCCTTGGACTGGCGTTCCCGGTTCTCAGGCGTCTCGTTGCCGGGCGAGCCCACTGCGACGGCGGGCTGGGGCAGGCGGAAGGAGAGCGTCTTCCATGCGAGGGGGTACTGCTGCAGGAAGTGGCGCAAGTGCCGTGATGTGTGGTAGAGTTCGAGGAGGGTGACGGTGGAGATCTGGGCGAGGAGCGACTCCAGGACGGGCGGGTACGAGGTGATGATGGACTCGAACAGGCTGAGGGCGGCTCCCGGTGCGGCGGCGTGGCTCGCTGCTATCGTCTCGGTGTGCGTCGTCGCGGCTTTGTCGCCATGGCGGGTGGTGCAGGCCCCGAAGTCGCCGTGGCCGCCGTGGAGTATCGTGCTCATGCTGCGTGGGTGGTGGGTGACGGTGACGGTGTCTACACAATCACGCCCGGGGAGGAGAGAGCAGCGACATGCACGGGTGGAGCGCGTTGAGTCGTGTCGCGCAAGCGAAGATGGTCGTGTGAGATGGCTTGGCCAGCCGTCGGTCGCAGCCAGGGTTCTTAGGCCAAGATGAAGGCGATCCGTTTGCCGTCGCCGGGCGATCTTTGTGCCTCACCGATAGCCAGGTGCGACTAGCAGTACCATCCTCACTGTTACTCGGCTCACGCTGCCGGCGACCACCTCAAAGACGCGAAACTTGACGTGCCAAGCTGAGACTTTGATAGATATGCATTCGGCCCTCCTCACCCTCACGCCGGCGCCAACCAGCCTATCAGCCAGCGGCACATTGCAGTCCCTCCCTCAGCCTTGCCGCGACAGCCCTCTGCCAGCTCAACACGGTGCATCACCTGGCGACACTAGTGCGCGTTGCTTTTGCCTGTTGGCAGACACGACACTCCAATTCCATTCGCCTGTGCGCGTCCATAATCACATCATCCGCGCTTGCTGTGCGACTGCTACTGAAACCCCTTTACCCCGCTGCACTGTGCCAATTCGCCACCCTCAGCATATCATGGCAGGAGAAACAACACCAAACTAAAAATATTACATAGGCTACGCTAAGAGGATATCAAACAAAGTACGCCAGGTAGGCCCTTGAGCGAAAAGTTATTGGCCATACGCTCGTGCCCACAACATATTCCAACAAAAACAAAGACAAAACGCCGCAGGGACCTTTTGCGCTACTGAGTGCATACGCAGGGCAGCATGCGAAGAGCAAAGAGCATGCAGCAAAGTTGTGTCCCTGTCCTGAGAACACAGACTAAATATTCCAAGTACCATAATCAGAACACCCAATTGCCCTGCGTATCCCGATCCTCAAGCCCATCAAACAGGACAATGTCCCATTGATCCTCATCCTCGCCAGCCGGCGGCCACAGCGAATTATCAATGAATGAAAACACTGGAAGATGCTGTCCCGTAGCGGTAGCATTCATCAACTTGCCCGCGTCAGAATCAATATTGAAAACCGGGCGTATGGGCAGCTTCATAAACTCCAATTCCACTGTCCCGAAGAAAGGTATGGTATGGCGGACTTTGCCACTAGGCTGTTTGCTCGGGTCCAGTGAGGAGAGGATCTTCTTGAGTACTATAGCGCTGCGTGCTGCGATTCTTTCGCGTGGGCTGGCGCTGGCCAGTTTTTCCATTTCGCCGATGAGACGACATATCATGGCGAAGTCTGTTCCTTTGGTCTTCTTTACTTCGACTTTGTCTTTTGTGCCTAGCTCGATGACGATGTCGAGGGTGAGTGTGACGGCGGCGATGAAGACTGATAGCTCGGCGAATCGACAACAGGCTTGCGTGATGCTTGCGTTGCGGAGCGCGAACCATCTCATCAAGATGTTGCGGCAGGCCTGTAGCGCGGTGACCTTGGAGTACTCGTATCGATTGTCGAGATGTGCTCTGAGTAGGTAAGGTAGGTGGATGAATAGCTTCATCTCAAAGTGCCAGACTTGCACCATCAGTCGCTCCAGCGTGGCAAAAGACTCTGGCGACCTAGCTGTCGACGGTATATTTGGTACTTCCCAGAAGTCCTTGGGCATCTCCTTCATGGAAAATTCCAGCTGCTCGTCCAATGCCAGCGCTGCCGAATATGCCTGTGGCGAGACGTCGCGATCAAGCTCCGCCACTTGTTTTGTCAGGTAGTTGAGTTTCGACCGATGAACCAGATGTGGGCTGGCGTCTGCTGGAAGTGGATAGTCGTCCGCGCCGAACGGGAGGCGGAGATGCAGTCCTAAATACCGATCAATGTCAACGAAGTGGCGCCATATCGACTTGGCGTCCGAAATCGCTGGGATCGGGGGGTTAAGGTCGTCCTGCGCAATGATGCGTTGGAATCCCATGAGATGTGCCAGGCTTAGACCGCGCCGCACAACAAGCCATGACTGCCGTAACGAAGCACTGTTTAGATGGTAGAGAGCTAGGAGCAAAAGCACCTCAAGTCCATGCAACGTCATCATCTGCTCGTCCGAGGAGGTTACCAACGATGTCACTGTCGATACATAGTTTTGCATCGTCACCTCCATGTTCCAGATGCTCGAGAGGCGCGAATGGTCGAAATCGGGTGGGAGCGAGTTGATACAGATGGCCAGATGCAGTAATGTGCGAGCGATGATGATAGGCCGCTCTTGTGCCACAGCCTGCATACACAGAGCATATGACTGCAAGTCGTTGTTAACGTAAATCTCTTTCGACGCCCGGTAGATGCCTTCTAAGATCATCCACCCGTTAGACGATTCGAAAATGATATCTGCATCGTGCTGTGATGGCAACAAGGCGGCTAGGGTTCGGTGGACGTTGTCGTAGTCTGAGGGCTGCCCCTTGCTATCTGACTTGTCGACCAAAGTACGAAGAGAGGGCGCTGAAGTCCATGTTTGCGCCCCAAGCTGACAACGTTAGTGTGGGCGGTAGGACGAATAGACTCGACCTACGATCCCATCGGCCAGTGAGGAAGTGCTATACGCATCGCTTCGCTGTTCCGATACATCCGGTTTGATGTCTTTCTCGGTAGAGCCTGAGGCAGTGAGGGCAGGGCTGTGCGGCACAGTAGTGGCGGCGCCTGCGGTGGCATTTTTACGACACACAAATCTTTCAAAAAGTTGTTCCAGTTTGCATAGCCTTTCTTGGATGTGGTTTGAGCATGGATTCCCGTCATCTATCCGATCCGATCCGGTATTGTCCATGATGGCGGAAGAGTTGAGGGTAGTTTGGCTCGCATTCCCGTGAACTTTGCGCTTCTTGCCTGTAGCATCTTAGTAAGTAGTCCAGATAATGTGTAAACGGATCCTAGTCTTACACTCCCAGCATGCCCGGCGTAGACTTCTCGAAGGCCGTTTCTTAGAAGTGTTACTCGCGTTACTCAATGATTCCATCATAGTCTTGGCGTTAACAAACGATGAAGATGGTATGATTTACGGAGATCTTGTATTCCTGTCACAGGCCTATACCTGATAGGGGCGGCCATGTTACTTTCATAGTGGGGTGAAGGTGTTGCGATGGCAATGCTGATGTGGAGCTGACCTCACGGACCGCCGGCCGGGTTTCGTCCGCAACGGATGCCGAGAATTCCTCTACTTTAGTAAGTGATACAACTCCGGCGCTTGGTAACGGCAAGGGAGGCTCGCCCGAGGATATGGCCACCTTAATAAGCGTATCTCTGAACGGGTGCGGTGGAATATACTCGTGTTTGATGCTTTTAGTGTGCTCCCATCCGCAGTCCTCAATTTCATAGGTACTTTGGTGTTGAGAAGTTCGCAATTTTGGATTATCGACATGTCGGCTCCAGGGATGCTCCGACGGATGATTGCACAACGCGACCAGTGCTTATGCGGCCTATCTCCGCCGTGTTCGAACGCACTTAGAAAAGCCACGCGCATTGTTGACAAAGTCTGGAAAACTTGCCTCTCGGATACGGATATCCTATTACCAACATGTCGCTCAAGATCGTAGTTTCTGGTGTCACCGGTCGCATTGGCGCGCATGTGCTGCACCATGCGCTACAAAACCCGCTCGTATCGAGGGTCATCGCAATATCACGGCGGCCCCCACCCGGGACAGAAACGCACGCTAAGCTGGAGGTAGTGTTGCTTGAGGACTTTACAAAATACCCCGACGATGTGCTTGCGAAACTATCCGGGGCAGACGGATGCATCTGGTACCGAGGCACCTGCGTCATACTCCCCAACAACTGCTGACGTGCAAGGTGTATGACAACAACGGCTGGTGATCCCATGTTAGAGCTAGAGTATCCCAAGGCGTTTGCTGAGGCGTTTGCATCGACCATGCCTGTCGACTCAAAGCGCTTTCGGTATTTGCACTTGTCAGGCGGTATGGTGGAACGCGATCAGGAGAAGTCATTGTGGATGAAAGGCTCGATGCGCAAGATCAAGGTAGGCGTTTATTGTTCTTTTGTGATACCATGTGCGTAAATTGCAGTTAGAATGATCCGGGGCAAGCTGCCAAACGTGCTGACTCTCCGTAGGGCCGTGGGGAAGTTCAAATGCTTGAATTCGCCAAGATGAATGAAAACTGGAGAACGGTCATAGCTCGGCCAGGCATGGTTGTACAAAGAGGTAGTATTGTTGGTGAGGCTTCCATGATGATGGCTGGCTCTTCTGGCTCCTTCATCCGATTTGATGAGCTTGCGCTTGCACTCGTGGATGCGGTCGTACATGGCAGTGAAGAGCTATTGCTACCTTCTGCGCTCGTACAACGAGGCCAACAATTGGCGAGGGAGGCCACCGAGTGACCTTTTCAGTCAGAAACGAGGACGGATAGGGAGGGGGAGACATGTTGGATTCCATTTGATCCATGAATTGAAAGCGAAGGCCGGCGCCAAACTACCGCTTAATCTCCTACCCGCAGAATGTCTCCGCATTTGATCACTGTCAATACCGGGAAGGTTCCGCGTGTGCGCGTGACGATCGAGATCATCTATGTTCAACCGCTATCTGCTGGTATTCCCAAACTCCGACGCAACGTAACGCAGAGTGAGACCTTTCAGGCGTACATATCATCGTAGTCTTCGTCGTCGTCATCCGCAGGCGGTGGCGGCGGTTGTTTCTTCTTCAACAGTTCTTTGCGGTCAAGAGGGCATGTGGAGTTCAGCTTGAGCCAAGGTCCTATGCAGTCCAGGTCGAAGCGATGATCGTCGTGACAGGGCAGCTGGACTACGAGTGGGTACTTATCTATGCAATCACCATCAGCCAAGCTCTTAAGCTCTGCGTTGGGTCTTTGAGACGTGCGACGTACCGTCAAGGAATGGGTTCACGCAGATGGGGCAGGTGTCTGAAGGCTTCAGCGCTTTCTTTGGCACCCGCTCCAATTCATCCAGGAAGCTGTTTGGAACTCCCTTCAGTTCTGTGGGCGGGTCGTCGGCATTCTCGCGGAGCATCTCGATCATATTCGCTAACAGATCCCCGTGTTCGTTGTTCTCGTCCGCCGGTCGTCCGCGCATGGTCTCGAAAGCATTGGCGAGCAAGCGGAAGGCCGCCGCCATGTTTTCGGGCTGCGGTAAAGCATTGGCATTCGTGTGCGCGCTGGGATCTGACGTGTCCACGAGTTCAAGCTGCGAGAAGAAGGTCGAGAGGTCTGGTCGGCGCGAGGGTTGCTGCGATTTGTTGTCTTCGGTGGAGATGTTGTGTTCGACTGTCTAGGTTAGCTGTTATGTTGCGCACACAGTCGCTCCTGCCTACCTTCGTAGCCCGACATGGTGGCGGTATTCCAGATGTCGCAAGTCCGGATTAGGGTTTGTGGTTTGGCGGATGTCCTTGCCAGCTGAAATTATGAAGCTACGCGGAGTAGACGCGTCACAGCAGCAGCCTGAGACCCTGCAGTCTGGAAGGTGCGACCCCTCAGTTGTGGCGCAGGTGGCGTTCATCAGCCACATCATGACCCACACTGCATGACAATTCCACACTCCGCTGGTCCATCCCAGTTCTGCTCGCCATCGGCTCTCGCTTTGGCCGCCGTCATTCTGCGACTGTCACATCGACATGTGGCGCAGCCCAAGCCGCCACCCTCATTGGCGCTCGCACAGTCCGAAGACAAGCTAACACTAGGAGAAGCTTGTCCATGTGGTATGCCATTCTTGCGACACGCGACACTGACGCGTTCGTTCGTAGTAACTAGTGAGGCCGCGTCTGTCGTTCAAGGTTAATGTGCAGTGTGGAGGAGTTCCCTGTCAGCGCTGTCCCCAGGCTAGCGACGCTACAGGCACCTTGCACCCCCTGCGCGAGGTTGGGCGCTGCATGCATATCTTGTCGATATCTGGGGAAACAAGCAACTGATGCCCAGGCACAGATCTCGGCAAAGATGCGACTCCATTGGAAACCGCTGGCGTGCACTCGAAGCAAATAATTGGGGCTCTGTGGAGCCGGTGATCCAGATCATGCACAGCCTCCTAGTGTCCGCAACCAAGTCGTCACGCACACTTTTCCCTGACAGACAACACAACATGCCGTAAAGGGGCGCAGCCATCGCAGCGGCAACTGATAGAGTCAATACAAGAGGCAAAGCAGCCTCTGTGACACACTCGAGGTCTGAAGCTTCACATTGCCAGTAGGAGTCTTACAGTGCACAACACTCACCGCTTGGACCATCGCCGCCGACGACTACCACTTCACTACTTCAGCCTACATCTAAATTTCTACCTCCGCTCAATGTCGCTGCTCGTCATGTCAACAGATCCACCTTCTACTTTTGAGCGACTATCGCCCTCCTGGATTCGCCGTCCCATGTCTCGAAGATCGACCTCACCACAAAAAGAGTCGCGGCCGACAACATCAAACGGCCTACTTGCACCAGAACCAGCGTCAACATTCAGCAATAGCGATGGCACACGATCACCACGCTCAAGCTCATCTAGCCGCCGCGGATCAATAATAGAATTTGTTACCAGGTTCCGCTCTTCATCCAACGCCAGTGTCGCAAGCAACAAATCGCAAGACCCAACAGACTTCAGTGAAATCGAGAACTGGTTCTACGGATTCCGGAGATACAACCAACTAGTCAGCACCACCACATCAACAAACAAAGCAGACCAACCGCAAGACCTCTCGAAATCTTTCAAGAAACTAACGAAGAAATGCGGGGGCCAATTTCTGCACGGGCTACCAGAAGCAGTCTTTGACTTCTCACTCCTCTGGTGTCCCGCAGGCCACCTAACCAGAAAAGACAACAACGAACCATCCTGGAGCTGGACCGCCTACGACGGCCCTGTAAACTTCCCATTCGACCCAACAACATGTCCCGATGTGTACAAACTACCGCGCAGCGAGGGCGAATGGTTCCAATCCGAGATCTTACACTTCCACGTCGGTCCTGAGTCGGCGCAATACACCGTCCGGCGGGAAAAAGAAAACTCCCTGCGCATCAAATACCCGCCTTATTTCCACGCGCCGCGCGGCTCAGACCACACCAACGAGTCCAACACCCTGCGCTTTACGGCGGCGACTATTAGTGCGGATGCGTTTACCGCTGAGCCCAACACATACGAAGGCAGCGAAACCCCATCCTCCCAGCTTATCAACTCGGACGGTAAAACTTGCGGCGCCATCATGGACTATGAGTCTGAACTCTCCAAGCCCTCTTCCACCGGTCCCTTTGAGTTCGTGCTGCTGTCCAGGAACCTGTGGCGCGAACCGAATCCCGATAATAGCAAGCCGGGGTCGAATACTATGCATCCGACTGGCACGCCGATCTGGAATGGACAGCGTTTTATATGGGACGAGAGAGTTGTTGATCATGATGAGTGTTTTGAGATGGGGCCGTGGAAGATGCTGAATGTTATGCTCATTAAATGGGTGGGTGATTATGCGGAAAGGGTGGCGGTTGCGAGGATACATGAGGATGAGTGGAAGAAGCATAGTCCGATCAAGCAGGATATTGTGCTGAGATGAGATGAGATGGGTTCTTTCTTTGGTTATGATTAGAGCGATGAGATGGGTATGATGGTAGATATGCCGTTCAACTATGCTATTTTGAGCATTTGGATAGCCGAATACGACTAGAGTTTACACGTCACATCTGATTGTCATGAAACTGTTTGCTGACTACAAAGCTTATTCCATTGCTCTATTTCATGCCGTTACATAAATGTAGAAGTCTAGTAGTCAGATATCCTTGATACTCGAGACTCGGAGACTCCACGTAGCCCCCACGACTACTCATGAACCTCCCTCGGGAAAAGCTAAAGTCATCGTATACCTCAAGCCTTCTCCAGCTTCTCCTTTTCCAGCTTCTTCTTCTCCCACTTCGCCACCTCCTCATCAATGCGCTTGAAGCTCCAGTTCTGGTAGAAAGGCGGGTACAGGAAAGGCCTCAAGTCGAATCGGTTATCATCTGGCGAATATGCCTCCGCATGATAGGAAGGCGTCATTGTCGTCATCTTGTGGCGGTTGATGGCGTAGTAGTGGAAGAACCGTTTCACCTTGACTGCGACCTCGGCGGGAGTGTACTTGTCGGACCATTCGTGTGCTAGGCGAACCCAGGTTCCGTATGGACCAAGTTTAAGCTCTTTGCGGCATTTGCCAAAGACTCCGAGTTCTGCGTATGTCATGCCCATGTCGACCTCGTCGCTCTGGACATAGTCTTCTGTGAGTGGTTCGAGTTCGGCCGTTGGGGTTGCGTCGATGAATTCACCGAGAATGGGCAGCAAAAATTCATGCTGAGCGTAAGAAATGAAGCTCTTGAGGTCTCCTTTGGAGATACTTCCAATGGGGTTGAGGTCGGCACTGCTACAGTCGTACTTGGTGAGGTACCCACGCAGACACTCGTCGACGTTTCCTGACGCAAGGACCAGAAGACTACCTCCATTAGGTCTACCCCTAGTTAATGGGAGCATTTGAGCGAAGTAGTACGCTTGCACTAGACGTGTACGGGCCTGTATATTCTGCAATGCCAGATTCTCAGCAGGCGAGCCTCCATGAGCCTTGAATCGCGGCGTGAAGCTAAGCGTTTTGGTCAAGTTGTTCTTCGTGGCGAAAAAAATGTCGTCAATATCGGCCTCAACATGGTGGCATCCAATGTCTTCGGCCAACCTCTTGGCACGACTCCTGGTCTCTTTGCTTGATTGCTGAGACATACCCATGTATACGGTATGAAGAATGCCGTTGCATATTTGCTTTGGGCTTGTAGGTACCCAGTCTTCGCCGTGATAAGGGCCTACGATGCGGCGGACATCCTTGAGAACTTGCTTGTTGCCGTCCTGTACAGCCTTGTACACGAGGCGGCACATGGAGAATACTAGAGTTGCCGTGGCGCAGCTATCGATCCCTCCGCTGAGGGGCAGCATGAAGCCAGCCTGACCGGATCGACGGAGGTAGTCCCAAAGCCAGCATGCAGGTCCCAGAGCAATTTCTTCTTCGGGTCGATGGTAGCGGAGCGGCTGTACTGGAGTGGGGCGGATGTTGGGATCAAAGTCTCCGTCAGACGACAGGCGGAAATCCGCCCTGAAGCGCTCATATCGAGGAGCTGATGCAGCTTGTAGGCCACGAGATGGATTTGTTCTGAAGCTCCATATTTCCTCCAAGTCGATGGTGGCGTGGCAGACTTCGATATCATTCAGGGAGAATTGAGAGACCTGCGCGAGCATAGTGCCATTGACCAATACCATGCTGGAACCATCGTAGTACTGCAAAGATGGACGTATGAAGTCAGCATATGTCTCACATGCCTTTCGCAAAGTCAGGACTCACCAATCGGTCACCATCACAGCCTCTCTGGTTAGAATACTGCAAAGGTAGAGGTACGAAGTCAGCATTTGTCTCACATGCACTTCGTACAGTCAGAACTTGCCAGATAAGCCCCACCGCTCTTACCAGTGGCATTTCTGTGGGTAGACACACGAAGTCAGTATAAGGTCTCATATGAACTTCGCACATTCAAACTTACCGGATCAGATCGAGACGGACGTCGAGCTTGCGGAGCTCATCTAGCACGCGATGTTAGCGTACTTTCCTTGCTGTATATATGAGGTACTCACGGTGAGAACCTGACGAATTGATGATGATGTCAACGCCAGCTAAGCTCAAGTCTATATGTGGCGCCCGAGGTGTAAATAGCTCTTCGCAGGTTTCGTAGCCTATTGAGCAGTCGAGGGCAGATACTATGGCGTCCCCAATTGGGACGAAAGCTGAGTCTTGAAGAGAGCGCGCAGCAGTGGGAAGCTCATGTAATGTGTACTGCTCGACGCGTTGGGGTCCAGACCAGGGGATGAAGTATCGGCCTTCTCGATAATTTCCGGCCATCGCGAGGCTCATCTTGGGTCGAATCAACAATATCTTGCCATTAAGTACGACGATCCTCGCGTTGTAAAGATTTCCTGAATGCCTAACTGGCATGCCAACATCGTACATGATGCCATCGAGTTCGCGGTCAACAAGCAGGGAGTTTAGCATTTGCCAACTGTGTGTGACCGTATCTTGTTCAAGAAAGTGGTCGAGACATCCATATCCAGGAATTGACAGTTCCGGCGTGGTGACATAGCGTGATCCATTTTCTTGGGCGACCTTGATGGCTTCCTTGATGCGATTCAGGTTCCCCTCCCAATCCTGAAAAAGTGTAAGCAGTGTACATCGCACAGTATACAGAGAATCTCACAAGAGCCCAATTATTCAAATTAGATGTAGAGACTGTGACAAGCCTTCCCATGTTGAGTAACTTGAACGTTCCGGTTGTGGTGGGGTGTAGGTTGGTTGAAGTCGACTTGATGGAGTGAGAGTAGAAAGCGAGAAGAAAGCAAGACCTCGAGACTAAGACCCAACGCTGAAGTTGACTAACGGGGTTGATTCTCTAGTCTGGTGATTTGAAATTTACAAGAGGTGGATGTATAGTACCAGGGTAAGTCGTGAGTAATAGTTGGTGGCGGACTGTGCCCAGGTGGGTCCGCCAAGGCGTTAGAAGACTACTTCGAATCAGGCAAGCGCGCCCAGGGCTGGCACCAGCCCACTGATAGCCAATCTATGGTTGCACTTCATTCAGGTACCAGGAGGATAATCTTTTCTCGTGCAACTGTCTCCCACGGCTCGCAGGTCAGCATCTTGCATGACGCCCGCCATTCGCAAGGCTCGCTGCTCACCCGATTGCCGACGACATACGCGTATCGGCTAGTAGCCATTTGCTTTCCCTGCGTCGGTTGTGCCCAAGCGGGAGTTGTGGTTGGCTGCCACTAGAAGTGCCCGACGCCAATGCCTAGGTAGTGGCTTTTGAAGGTGGGTAAACACATAGCGGTAGACCCTTTCTCCGCACGTCTCTTCAAATACATCAATGTCGGATTCAATCGACCATGCGATTGCACGCACGCAGGCCAGGCGACGGCGTCGCATAGACCATGCGGATCTAGCGAGGGAGCGGGAGAAGACGTTCTATCGGTAGGCTTATCTCCTTTGGCATGCGCCACCTGGAGAGCTACACTCACCAATGTCACCATCTAGGTACTACCCTCGTCCAGGCTCTCACCTTCCCCAGACAGATGGCCCCGCGAGCCGTCACTCATCCCCGGGACCGGCTCCCAAGTCCCAGACGCCCCCGACTACCCCGCCGCCCTCTCTAGACTACGCCCCGCGAGCGTCGGACGACAAGGCCCTGACGGCGTTTGCGCAACTGGGAGCGCTGCGCCTGAATGCGCGGAGATGTCTCATATCCTTCTTCGACAGGACCGACTGCTTCCTCCTCGCCGAAGCCACGCGCACTCTGTCGTTGCAGACTGGCGAGCCCGAATTCGAAGACGACCGTTTGTGCTTCGGCACCACCATCTTCCCCAAAGAACAGAGCCTCTGTAACTACACCGTCAACCTCGCTCCCAAATACAGCACGCTCCCTCTCGACGATCCGAGCGACCTTCCTTCCCTCGTCGTCAACGATCTCAGCAAAGACAAACGCTTCTGCAACTTTCCCTTTGTCCAGGGCCCACCATACTCGCGTTTCTATGCCGGAGTACCAATCCGCAGCCCAAGCGGCCACAGCATCGGCACATACTGCGTTCTGGACGAGAACCCTCGGGACGGCTTGTCGCCGCACCAGCTCGCTTTCTTGAAGAGCATGGCAGGCACAGTGATGCGGCACTTGGAAAGGACCAGGGCAGCGGAAGACCATCGCCGGGCCAAGATTATGGTCAAGAGTCTGGGATCCTTTGCTGAAGGGAAGAGCGGCTTGGAGAACTGGACCGTAGATCCCTGGGATCAGGAGACAGGGCAGTCGTCAGGTCTACCAGATGCGATCATACCCCAGCGCCAGCGTCCTTCTGCCAATTCCGACGCTGCGCAAGATCCAGTTGTGCTCAATGGAAACATAGATCCGGCCATGAGAATTCCGAAGGACACTCCGCCTGCAACCGGTGCGCCCCCGAGTTTAGTCAACGGAGAGACAGTCGATACTATGCGTCCGGAGATGACTACCACGACGTCGTCCACTTCCACGAAAGGCTTCACCAAGACTGATCAAAAGGATAGGGTGGCCCCAGAACTGAGGGCTCATTTCACAAGGGCAGCGAACATGATCGTAGACTCAACCGAGGCAGAAGGCGTGGCATTCTTTGACGCGAAAATCAGTACCTTTGGAGGTCTTGTCGACGATGACTTCGATCCCGATCAGCTACCTGAACCGGACAAACCTTGCGACATATTAGGGGCGGCGCTATGCAGAACCGACCGCGACACGAAGCCGCTGCCCAACACTGGAGAATGCATTTCAGAAAGCGTCCTGAGACACCTCCTGCGACTCTATCCACATGGCCAGATTTTCCATCTCGACGACGATCCGGCAACTCCTTCGGTCGCCTCGCCATCGACAGCTGGCGTGGACGAAGTCGAATCAGCCGACGGCTTTCCGTTCAGTACACCGCGCAAAACAGAATCTACCAGAAGCTTGGATGACGAAGCTTACTTGAGGAGGGTTTTTCCGACCGCTCGGAGTTTGATACTCTATCCATTATGGGACCCGCATCGCGAACGCTGGTTTGCTACGGCTGTCATCTGGAGCTCGGAACCGAAGAGAATCTTCACGACCGAACAGGAGCTCAGCTACCTGGCAGCGTTCAGCAACTTTGTCATGGCTGAGGTCGCTCGTCTAGACACAAAACTAGCTGATGCTGCAAAGGCCGATTTCATCTCGTCGATCAGCCATGAGCTGCGGTCACCACTGGTATGTATACAAAGATGAAGCAGTCGAAGCGCATGCACTGACCGTATCTAGCATGGGATTCTGGGAATGACAGATTTATTAAAGGATTCCCCTCTAGATGGCCAGCAGGTATCACATGTAGCAACGATCGAGACATGTGGAAAGACTCTACTGGAAACTATCAATCACGTAAGTTGGTGTAGGCTGCATCAGATACTGCCACTAACTTTATAGGTTCTTGACTTTGCCAAAATCAACAACCTGACCCGAGGAGTTTCGAAGCGCCAGAAGAAACGAACACAGAGCGCGAAGCATATGATCAGTCCGGGCCAAGCTCATACCAATGATATCATGACACTAATTAACGACGTCGACATGAGCATCTTGACAGAAGATGTGGTCGAGAGCGTCTTCGCAGGCTACACCTACGCGAAGACGTCTGCTCAAACATACGAGTTAACCGCCTCTAAAGTCAACAAGCCGCCGATATCTATCATTCTCGATATCAACCAGAGCGACAACTACGTCTTTCGCACGCAGCCTGGCGCATGGCGGCGAGTCATCATGAACCTGTTCGGCAACAGCCTGAAGTATACACCGGGTGGGTACATCAAGGTGAAACTTGAGGTTAAGCGGAAGCCTGAAGACGAGGACGAGACCTGCGAGTTCCGGTTCTCAGTGACCGACTCTGGTATTGGCATGTCAGAGGACTATATCAACAACAGGCTCTTCCACTCCTTTGCGCAGGAGAATCCTTTGAGCCAGGGCACAGGTCTAGGTCTGTCGATCGTCAAACAGATTGTGGAATCTCTGGGAGGCGAGGTAGAAGTGCGTAGTGAGAAAGACCGCGGCACCAAGTTTACAGTCACATGTCCATTGAAGGAGTCACGAATGTCTCCCAACTTCTGTGCAACCGGTCCAGAAGGAGAGAAAGATCTGCAGCTACAACAGGTCACTAAGCGCACCAAGGGTCTGAAAGTGAGGTTTGATGGTTTCAATGAGGAAGAGGAGTATCATGTTAGAGACTTGAAGAACAAGACAGCCTCGAAGCTATCATTGAAGGCGCTCGACAGCCTTTGTGCTGAGTGGTTCGGTATCGAACGATGCGAGGAGGACGACAATGCAGCCGAACCAGACCTGATCATCGCTACCGAAACCTGCGCCAAAGCGTTACGGACTACGTACAGCCAGTCTCCCGGTCGAGTGTCTCCTACCCCCGTGATAGTCGTGTGCCAGGGCGCCGCAGCAGCACAATCTACAACAGCCATCACAGTGCCGGGGATAATATTCGAATGTATCGGCCAACCTGTCGGACCCCACAAGATGTCGAAGGCTCTAGCCTCATGTCTCGATCGACACGCAAGACGCGCCGAGACACAGAAAATGGACGTCAAGTCGATGATCCCACGGATAACAGAGCTCAGTCTAAAAGAGGAAGCAACTCCCCGTCGCACCGATCATCTACATGTCGTAGAGCCATCCCGGCCACAGCTCACCAGCATTAGTAGTGCCCCCGAGATACGCTCAATCAACAACAGCCCACCCCGAACATCCAAATACCTAAAACCCTCGCGCGCACTGCGCTGTCTCTGCGTAGACGACAACCCCATCAACCTCCGCCTGCTGCGCACCTTCGTCGACAAGCTCGGCCACCAACACGTCCTCGCCGCCGACGGTCTCGAAGCACTCGAAGCCTACAAAGCCGCCAGCGACGAAGACTCGCGCATCGACGTCGTCCTCATGGACATCAACATGCCCATCATGGACGGCCTCGAAGCCACCCGCCAAATCCGCGCCCACGAAATCCGATCCAACCTCCCCAAAGTCACCATCATCGCCCTTACCGGCGTCGCCGACACCGACATCCAACAAGAAGCCAACTCCAGCGGCATCAACCTCTTCCTCATCAAGCCCGTCCGCCTCGCCGACCTGGAAGTCATCCTCAAAGGCGTGGTTACCGGCCAAGACAAAGCGAACCTAGAGCTCGAAGCAGAGAAAGAGCGTATTAAACAGGCGGAAGCAGATGCTATCCTCAAAGTCGAAAGTGTGGATGAGAAAACACGCAGTATCAACGTGGGTGTTGCGGTCGTCAAGGGTGAAGACGATATACAGAAAGCGGTTAAAGTGTTCGAGCACAAGAAGAGTGCGTCGGTGATATGAAGCGCACAGCACAACCAGTATGCATCAGCCTTTCCTTGACGCATGTGCTAAACATACCGGACTAGGGCGTTCATACGCATCATCGGATGATCCTTACTCCCCGCGCAAAACTTCCTCGCGTATTTCCTCGTTGATCACGAAGTTGGGCATGGACAGGAGGAGTGAATGAACAGTCACAGAAGGGAAAAGCATTTACCTACGCATTTTGGCGTACATTGCATTTGCTTGTTCTCATTCCCCATTTTCCGGCGCGCAAAGGAAAAGAGAAAAGTTGTGTCAAGAGCGAGCTTGACGAACGACAAAATGCATGCATGGGGTTGGCAGGCATGTTTAGGCGATTATACCCTTTTCTATCTTGCGTTTTTCTGTTT